CCCCGTGCACCATTTGGGGGTCACTGAGCCCCCCCAGGATCCCCCGTGCACCCTTTTGGGTTCACAGAGCCCCTCGATCCTACCCAGCCCCTGCTCAGGGCCGGTGCCTTGGGACGGGATCCCCAGCCCCGGTGACAGCCCTGGGGGCTTGCACAGGTCCGAGGGGTGGGTGACCACCCAAAGGCGGGCTGGGCTGCCCCTCACTCCCAAAYCCTCGCTCACTCGTGCCCCCCATGCCCTCCGCAGGCATCTCCGAGGACTCCAAGGTGGAGGCTCCCGCCTTCACGGACGCCATCCGCATGTACCGGCAGTCCAAGGAGCAGTACGGCACCTGGGACATGCTGTGCGGCAACGAGAGCCAGGTGAGCACCTCATCTCCATTCGGGGGGCTGAGCGGGGTCCCCAAAATCCTCCTGGGGCCGGGGGGTGTGCGGGGGGCCGAGCAGCTCCCCAAAATCCTCCTGGGGGCGGGAGGGGTGTCTGGGGTGCTGAGCGAGGTCTCCAAAATCCTCCTGGAGCCAGAGGGGCTGAGCAGTTCCCCAAAATTCTCCTGGGGCCGAGGGGTGTGCAGGGGGCTGAGCAACTCCCCAAAATCGTCCTGGGGCCGGGGGCTGTGCGGGGGGCCGAGCGGGGTCCCCAAAACCCTCCTGGGGCCGGGGAGGGGTGTGCGAGGGGCTGAGCAGCTCCCTAAATCCTCCTGAGGCCGGGGGGACTGAGGGGGCTCCCCAAAATCCTCCTGGGGCCGGGGTGGTATGCGGGGGTCGAACAGCCCCCCATAAACTCCTTCCTCCGCAGATCCTGAGCAACCTGGTGATGGAGGAGCTGCTCCCCGAGCTGCGGAACACCATCGGGCCGCGGCTGAAGGGCAAAGCCCCGGAGCGCCAGCGCACCTGGATCCAGGTGTGGGGCTGGGGCTGACCGGGGTGGGGGTCCCCCCGTCCTCCAGACCCCACCCGGGTGGGCTCCCTTCCCCGCCGGGCTCTGCTGTGCTTTCTCCCGGCCCATTCCGAGGGATCCGCCCGTTCTCCGCTCCTTTCTAAAGCTCCTCCTGTGCCCTGCCCGGCCCCGCCGTGTCCCCGGGGSYGGCCAAGCCAAGCGGAGGAAGCCCAGCCCCGGAGCCGAGCCCGTCCTGGCTAAATTTAGCGAGCCATTTTTAGCGCAGCCCAGGCTAAATCCAGCCCAGACCCTTGCGAAAGACTGAGGGCTCTTCAGAGCT